GTTGACTTTTCATGATCACTATTTCACAGAATTCGCTACTCTTTTGCTCAGTCACTGCAGATTTTATACCAAACTTTCAAGATGGATGCAATTATTAAGCAAACAGTCGTTTTGGATTCAATAAAATCAAACAGTAAAACATTTATTTAGAAGTAAAGTAATATTTTCTAAAAATAAAATAGTTTAGAGCATGTGTTGAGACTGACTCACAACTCCACACCAAATTTTAGCTCAATATCAGGAAAATTATTTGAGTTATAGACATTTTTGTGACATCTAAAGTCAATAAACTGTGGCAGCCATCTTGAATTGTGTTGACTTTAAAAGTTAATCAGTTGTAAATGTCCATTGATTAATTTCTGAAAGTTTCATTAAACTCTTTCCAGTGGTTCATAAAATATTTTGCTAACAGACAGACAGGCCTAACTCCAAAAATGTAATGCCAAAGTTTAACAAAGACCTTGTCTGATTTGTCTGTGCTCTGAGCTTGTGATAGGATTGAGTCACCGCTACTTACTCACCTAAGTTTAGCTCAATATCTGTAAAATTAACTGAGCTACAGCCATTTATGTGTTTCCTATTGTCAGCTAGCTATGGCAGCCATCTTGAAAGGAATTGACTTCAAAAGGTAACCAGTTGTAGAGGTGCATCCAGAGATTACTCCCTGAGAGTTTTATTAAAATATTTGCAGGAGTTCATGAGAAATTTTGCTAACAGACACACACAATTGCCTGCATTTTTTATTTTTATTTTTACATTCGCCAGGGTGTTTCAGCAAAATCCTTCAAGTTTTCAGCTCTAATAAAAGTTCAGAGATTCACATTTGGCACTGAAAATCTAAAATTGTGTTCTCTGTCATCCAGGGGAGCTGATTTCCACCATGTGTTCTTCCCTGCTGTCCTACATTCTCCCAGCTGCCCTTTAGAACGTACTGTAATTCAGTCACTTGGCCTATCGGTGTCATCTTTAATTCCCATGCAGGGAAACACATTGAACTCCAAAGCGTTTTATTCACTTTCGCTCCCTCCCTCACTTCCAGGACTCGGACATTTACTCCAACTTCTCCTCTTCTTCTATGGTTTTATGACAAATAGGATCAGAATCCTGTTGGAACATCAACTGCAGCCGGCAATAAATATTTACTACATTGACAACACAATATCAATGATTTAACGTCAGTTTCAAAACCACAACTCAATAACTCAGGTTATGAACAATAAGTATCTTACCTGTTGTGGATATCTTTTCAAACGACCTCAGTTTGGACAAATAGGAGTTTAATTGGCCAGACTGATGAGCTTATGGCTAGTCTGATTTTACAGTGATTCAAGCTAATAGTATTTTATAAACCTTTACGCCTTTATCAGTTTCACATGACATAGTTATTAGCACACACACACAGTAAGGGTGCACATATGGCACACTGTGGTTCGAATCCAGACCCAAAAGAAGTCCTGTCTGGACCCAGATTGCCCGTTAAATGTACTTGCACACGTTGTCTCATATTTCATTTTAAGCAGTGCAGCTTTTGTAGACATTGCGGTGGTCTAGTTTAGGGGTTCCCAACCCTGGTCCTTGAGGAACACCATCCTGCATGTTTTAGTTATCTCTGCTCCAACACACTTGATGTTAATAAATGGGTGATTAACAAGCTTCTGCAGAACTTGATGACGTAATTAAATCACTGAATTAGGTGTGTTGGAGCAGGGAAACAACTAAAACATGAAGGATGGTGTTCCTCAAGGACCAGGGTTGGGTACCACTGGAGTTGACTACAGACTGGCCTGGTCCTTCCTCTCTGCTTCTCTCACTGCAGAAAAGTCTGCTGAAAAAAAGCAACACCTGAGTGAATAAAGTCAACAACTGTCACTTAAAGACCAAAGCTGAGAGAAAAGTAGAGGTTTTTCTCCAGAATTTATGTTATTTTTTACTGTTTAGACAGTATAATTAAACTAGTTTGTCTCAT